AATATTAATTTCTAGCCAATACATACTTTGTATGTGTTGAACTGTGGAATATTTTTGGCATGTTTGTAAATATTGTCTGTTATTAGGTACAAAATAAAGTTTGGGCATATTTTAATATGGCATGTATGTGAGTATATAATTGTATTGGAAATAGGGTTTATTTCTTATAAGCGTGTTATATCTGAAAATACACTTTGTAAGTGTTTCACAAGGTTCAGAAGAGGAAATTTTGATCTGGAAAACAGAAGATTCTGGCATTCTATAATATATTGTTGGTAGGACAGTACAAATTTTTACATTAAAATTCCATTACATTTACTCTAAAAGCAACTAATTTCTTAAAATAATTAATAAATAAAATAAAAATCTTACTTCTTACCTGTAGTCATGGTCTTTTAATAAATTTATTTCTTCTTTTTAAACTGAATGAAATGAAAGCCAAATGAAAAAATAAAAGTTGAAACACTTAAATTTGTATATTTAACTCTAAATTTGAAAAACATTAGGATCTAATTGAAAGAACTAATTTTTCTTGAATCAACAAAGCAAGAAAATTATAAACTTGAATGAACCATTAATAAAAACATTTATGTGTTGTTTTCTGTTTATCATAAACTAAACTAAAAATACAAGGGAGAATCTAAAAAATGATAAACAAAAATGGAAAATTTAGTCACAACACACAGCAGGGAATTGTAAATGAAAAATTTTATCAAGATTAAAAACTAATTGATCATAAATATCTGTTTTCTACAATGATGTTCATTCTGTACAAGGCCAGGGAGCCACACGAGGTAGAGTATTACAGAGTAAGAGGCACAGTTTATGAAGTTTGTGAAGCTTACAACTGGTGGAAGTAAGGAATGTAGTTCATCTGAAGACTCTTCATGAAAATAGCATTAGAACACTGAGAGGCTTGCAATGTCTGTAGAAAAGGGGCTGTAGGTTGGAAAATATTTTGTCATCCACTTTTGGACTCTATCAAGATCGGTAAGATTGGCCATATATGGCAGCAGTAATCCATTTTTGGACTGATATGGCTCTTGTAAAACTAGAGGATAACAAGAGGAGTCAGGTACTTGCTAGAGCAGTACAGGGAACCGACCAAGAGGAAACATTCATCACAATTGATGAGAGTCTGGCAATGATGGAATATCACTAGTTTGGTTTTTGAGGCATTGAATATGACCAACCAGTTTTTCCCCTCATTGAGCTGTTAAGGCTCAGTCATGAGAAATCAGCTGTCATACTCTGGTCAGTTAGAGTTTTGTAGATACAACCATATACTGTTATATGATCAACATAGATATTCCCAAATGATCAGATTATAAACTCCTCAGCAGGTAATTTATGCAGAATGTATAGAGATAGAAAATAAATAAATCTCTAAAAAGAGATAAATATTTGGAATTTTGCTAGCTTATGAATTTATATTTCCATGAACCAACAGGAACAGTTTTAACAAGAAAGGAATTCCACACATCATAGTCTGACAGACTAATCAGAGACGACATTCTTTCCCAACCAGGAGTCGATAACTTGCGAACCAATCAGAAGCTAAGCACCAATTCTGCAATGGATTCTTTGTTTTGCCAGCATATATATATAAAAAGATGGACAATTGACTCGAATAATCACTTGATTAATTAATTTTATCAATTTTTTGATGCTACAGTCATTATAATATACCCAGAACTGAAATGTGACATTCCTGTGTGACCCTACATAGACACATGCATATACATACTTCCTTCAAACATTTACACATACATATTTACACACACACACACACACACACACACACACACACACACACACACACCAGGACATTTATATTTGAACTTCTAATTTATCACTCTATCCTTCTGTATATATATTGTGTTATGTAAAAAATTATTTTGTTTATATTAATTCTCTGGTAACTTTTTTCAACCCATAACCCCCTTATTGGAGGAAACAACGTTATCATACGATAACCTCACACCACTACCACAAGAAATACACTAATATTCTTTATGCAGAAAATGAATATATAGAGCACAATTTTCAAAGTATGTCTGGAGCAGTGCCTGAAGTAGTGTCATTTAAACATTATGATTAGTATGTGAACACATGCTTAAGAAAGTCTATCAACTTCTTAATTTTTGATTTGGTCAATGTGATAATTTTTGTATGTAGACTTCTGCTGGCAATTATGAATGTTAACTTGCCATTTTGGATGCATTAATGAAACATAAAGAGAGAATGTTGTTATGCAACAAGAATAAAACAAATTGATTGGTAGATTTAATAAACCACAAAATCTGAGAATAAATCAATGAATGAAAGCTTATGAGTATGAAATGAAAAAGTTTAGCATTATGGATCAAATGGATTGAGAAAGGTTGCTTTCTCCTTACTGTTGTTTGTGTTTGTACGTTTACTGCCCTGGCTATGTGAAGGTGTCACACTTAACATTTTAACCAGAGTAAGGTTATTTAAGCAAATACAATGAACTAAATGAAAATGGAAATTCAAAGTGGGACATGTTAAGAAAAGCTTTAATGAAGTTAGCAAGTGAAATCATCCCAAAAAGGAGTGAATGACAGTTGAAATTCTCAATGTTATAAATAAACACAGTATGGAAACACAAGAGAAAGAAAACAAAATAATAAGAACCTCTGGTGAGGTGAAAAGAAAAGAATACAAGAATTAATATAAAATTCTTTGTATTGCCAATACAGAGAATGTGAGCAGAATGTCTCTTTGTGGCTAAGAGAAGCAACTTAGAGGAAAGGTAGAGTTGGTAGGGCATGGAGTTATTGCATGTGCTGGGTTGGTTGACTTATTTTATATTTTTTGAGGGGATCTGTTTTGTGGACTGGATGTAATGCTTGGAGCTCCTGTGCTCCAACTTTTTCATTTTTTATTTTACTTTCTTAGCATTTACATCCAGCCAACATGTAGAGTGAATTCAAAAGAGATCTAATTTAAAGCAGAGTATAACATGATGATGACTGTATCACCTAGTTCACCATTCCTTACATGTCTAACAGGTGATGTAAAAAGGGGTTACATACATGTTCAATGCAAAGGTAAATATCCACAAATGACCCCAAAAGCTGAGTTCCATGAAAGAAAGGTAATGTTGTGCATGTGATGGGATTGTTGTGATATTATTCTTTTAGAGTTCTTATAACACTAAACATTTATACATTCTGTAGCTGTAACATGTCTTTAAAAGTTTGGTTGAAAAGCACACTGTGCTTATCAATAGGAAAGATGTTGTTTTCTTTTATGACAATACAAAGCTGTGCATATAGCAAAAATAATACAGGAAAAAAATGGAACTCAGTTGGTCTGTTCTACCCAACCCACTATATTCATTTGACCTTGTACTAACCAATTATTATCTTTTCTGATCACTGCAAAACACTTTGATGGGAAAACTATCTCTAATGAAAACCAGACTCAAATGTAGGCTTATATTAAAAACATTTTCACCTGCAGACTTTTACTCAAAGGATTTGTCTGATAAGTGGAAACAAGACATTGTAAATAATGAGGAATAAATAACTGAATGAAATTTAATTGTACTTTCATTTTTGAAGAATAAAGGGTGTTGTTGCATGATAGATGATAGGCAGTGTGATCATAAATATTTTTTCCTATATTGCTATAGATTAATCACTCCATATCATGAATACATAAAGTTAATAGAGGGTTCAGTTTGCTAATGTCAATTCTTTGTAAATTGATACCCTTATGGAAACAGAAACAAATATATTTATATGACATGATTTCTTAGAATTTAAAAAAACATTTTTTTTTGAAATTTGTAATCTGAAGTACTTAATTGATATATGAAAAAAGTGCTCTGGATTACAGATTTTTTTAAATTATTAATTTTTTTATATATACATTTTAAGAAATCATTTGGCATGAGCATATTTTATTTTGGATTCTGTCCGTGGATCAATTTACAATTAATTTACATAGCAACCTGGACCCACATTAACTAGAAATTTATTATTCATGATCTGGAGTGCTTAGAGCAATATGAAAAAAAAGAAGATTATTTCCAAATTGCAGTGCCTCTTGTACAATTCTCCTGAATAAAACTGATATTAAAAAGATGGATAACTCAATTATATATTTTAACATCACAATCTCAGAGGCAGTCTGGGTAGTAAAAGATGCTAAATCCTAATGACTAGGCACTGGTAAATACTGAATACTTTGTTGAATTTAACCTCTGATACTCTCTTTTTTATATCCGCATTTTTTTGATAGAATATACGTGGGTGGATCTAAATTATTAAAATGAAACAATTTTGTTGTTGAATATCAAAATTTAACATATTTACATCGTTGAGTGTTAAATTATTCCATTCTTTTTAGTCAAACTTTAGTGTTTTGACATTGAAGATTCCACTGGAACTTACCATAACTGGATAGTCTTTATTGTCCCCCTAAGAGTATTTTAAGTTTTGTGTCTGAATGTAAGTATGCATTTTAATGTAAAAAGTAAAAAATCTCATTTTTCGCTCCAAATTAACAGCAATATAATTTTAGTTTGAGAATTAGTAATAATTGTATTTTCCTTTTTTCACATTCATTTATCATTATGAGTTCATAAACTGATGAATTTCCTAAAGATATTGGGTAAATTATGTTGCTGTTTTGTTTTAAAATTATCACAAAAATCTGTGAAAATTTCACTTTAAATTAAAAAATAAAAATTCAATGCACTTTGACTTAACTTTCAAGTTCGTCACTCACACCAGGAAGAAGAATATAATAGCGTATTTTTACCTTTTGCACCGTTAGAAATACATTTTGAAAAGCGGCTTTCATGGCCATATGATTAATTGTACGTGTTGTTAATATTTTCTTTTTTAATTTTATGTTATATTCGATTTATATTTGTTCATGTATTTTTTTTTTAATTTCAGAAAATAAGCAAGTTGAAGTAGAAAGTACTGAAACTACTGTTCCTGAAGTTGATTTTTTTTAGTACCATGGTTGATTTACGAGAACGTATTTTGTCGCATTTAGACAACGAGGAAGATGTTGACACGTTGTATTTAGCCGAAAAATGGAATGAAGATCACCAGAAAATTGTTGGTTCAGTGAAAAGTTTACAATCTCACGAAGGTGTAAGTTTTTAGTCTTATTTACTTTTTGTGTGCGAGCGGTTGTCTTATTATCGGAATGATGCAATTCTTTCTTCATACGCTTTTTTTTTTTTTTATTAGTTTCACTTGGAAAACGTTTAAAAATTATAATCGGCGAAAGACCGGTACTATTAAATCATAGATAAATAATTAGTTAAACTATTTATTTTTAACTTTAAGGCAAATCATACGTGTTTTACCGTTTAAAATTTCTTCGGGTCAGTTTTAAATTAGCACGAAAGCGAAAGGTGGCAATTTTCGAGTTTACAAAAAAAAAGACTATAATACTCGATGTATATTACTTTAAAAATCCTTGATTTAACAATAAAAAAGAAAGAACGTAACGATTCAAAGGTAAAAAGAAACTATAAAAAAAATAATTATATAAATGATATAATTTTTTCGAAATGAAATTAATTAAATGTTCACTGTGTAAAGTATTATTAAATTTTTATGGATGAATTCAGTTTAGCCTAACAATGCATACAAAAATTAATTATATATTATTATAATTTTTACAAAATAGTATTATTATTTTTTGACATACGGGAAAACTTAATTATTTAATTAATTGTAACAATTTGAAGATGATCCAGAATGAATAGACATCCATACGAGAATCTTTAACCTGCAAGTGAAAAAAACCTGTTATTCATAAGAAAAACTGATATATGATTTTAAGCGATTTTTTATTTTATGGCGAAATGATAATCGTGCCATGAGAAAATTATTTGAAAAATGATAACGATGCTTTAAACACAATGCTGGGTTTACAGGAAATCATTCTTAATCCTTTTTCTCAGTCAGTATACTTGCTTATTACGGCCTGTCAGTTAGACTTAGAATAGAAGATTACCCCCATTCCAAGAAAAAATTGGATCAACTGTTGGTCATGTGTGGCAACTTGTGATGTCTAAGGACAGGATTCATATAACCGAGTAATTCATTAACTTCATGTGAATTGCATTTGTCCCATTCTTGGCTAGATTGGTGGTTGAAAAGAACCAACCCAATCAATCAGCTAATCACGGCAAAACCTAGCACTTACACACACACACACACACACACACACACTTTAAACTACTTGAACTTGATCCTTCCTAACCTAAATACAGTCATGGTTAACAGTAGAGCTTATATGTGTCAGAAGGCAGTTGTTAATGGTTTGAAAAACTCAAAACTTCAACATGGCTGTAAAACACCTAATCTTCTTACCCAAAAACATTTTGTAGGTGCTCAGTCTTTCCCTTGAACACAAGCATATTATCTGTGTATTCTTGTCATGTCATATGGGTTTTTCTCTTGATATTTTCCAGTATTGGTCTTTGAGGTGGGTGGGAAGCATGGACAATAAGTTTCTGTTGAAGAAAAATTATATCTTCTAAATCACTCAAGCAACTACATGCTAACATTGATTCAGATAGTGACTGAAAATGAAAAAAATGATTTGCTAGGATTTTAAAATTTCTGATGCTAGACTATCATCATTCCAGTGTCAAAACAACCATCATTTATTATAGAAAAAGTTCTACCTACCAGGTTGGCTCCAAAAGACTGTCAAAAAAATGTATAATGATAATCTTCAGGTTGAAATAGAAGTTGTGGGAAGAATGGAAGACACATTCTACAGCATGAAAATAGAAAACGTTTCCACTAAATACAAACAAGGATAACATAAGAAACTCCAAACTATCTCTTTTTTTTGTGCACTGGGTGAAAATGAGGCTCAAATATCAAGGAGCTTAAAAAAATAAACATGAAAAAGGAAGGCAAACTAATTTAAACAAATGCATACATAATTACTTCCAACATACCCAAAATAGGTTACTGTTGAGAAAACTGAACCAATGCATACTCTTCCTTTTTAGATGCCAGAAATATAGGCATTACATAGCCAATTATATGAGACAACCAATGTATAAGAGGTGCAGACAAACCCTGATCACACTAATTGAGAATGTAACAGAGAAATTGAATGTGTTGTCATCTGGTATACATATGAATATGCAAAATCTGGTGGAAAGAAGAGGAAATCCTGGAAGTAAAATACAGAAGAAACATGTTATTGCCAGTGGTATGAATGATATAAACCCAGACCAGAAATTTATCTTATTGTGCAAAAGACATCAACTACAACCAATGCCAGTGAAACAGATAAATTCAAAGCACTTATTGAAAAGCTTCTAAAACTCAAAGGTGATGATTGGTTAACCTTCAAAAAAAGGAAACAAGACTGAATACACTACCAATCTCTGCAAAATTGAACTAATATAAAAAAAATATATAAAAAAATATATAAAAAAAAATATAAAAAAAATTAAAATCACAAACCATATTCCAACAAAACAAAAAGAAGAAATAAAGAAAAACAAGAAAATCAACAAAACATATCAGCAACACTTTATCAACCAAGAATTCCTTCTCACAACACACGAAAATCACCTACAAAGGCAGTGCCTTACAAAAAGAGACCATAAGGATTTGATTACTACTCAACAACTGAACCTTGTTAATGACCCTAAAAAGACATTCCAAAGAGACAAGAAACACCTAACCAAAAATAAACTGCGTCAATGATCCTTCTAAAAGAATACAACTAAAAGAAATGAAACATTTTAAAAATCCTCCTTCACTTCAAAAACTCAACTCTATCAAAAAATCCTAAATAACCCCGAAGCTTATAAAAACATACACTGGAAACTTTTGTCTTTTTTAATTAATTCCTTTTTAAATCATTTTTCACAAGCTTACTAACTCTCACTTTGACAAATGATAGAAATATTTACTATGATATTATTATTAAAGCAAGTGTTATCTTCTTGTTAGCAAAGAAATGTTTTAAAGATCCCATTGCCTCTCATTGAGTTTATTTCTTAAATTTTATAAATATTACTTGTATTTTTATATTTAAATTCTATTCTTCTAAATTAAAAAAAAAAAACTTAATTTAAATAATATAAAATATTAAAACAATTTATGGAAATGTTTTTGATGGTAATTAATATAGAAAGGCTAACATTAAAACTTTTAATTCAGTTTTGTTTTTTAAGACTTATATATTTTGTTTTGGATTAAAAAAAAAGAAATACCGTCTTGAACATTAACAATATGTTTTAAAATCAACCAACTTAACCTACCTATTAATGTTGCTGCTACTACTTCTATCAGAATCGATCATGCATGCAACACATTTTAGAAAAAAATGAAACTTCATTTGCTTACCCAGTCATAAATTGACTTTTGAATATCATTGAAAGTTTTTAATTTGTTATTTATTGCAGTTATCTTGATTGTAATGAGCCTTGAAAGAGGTATCAAAATCGTTTGTGCTGTTACCATTATTATTTCTCTCTCTCTCTCTCTCTCTCTCTCTCTATATATATATATATATATATATATATATATATATATTCAACTATGTATTAGGTTTTCATCAAGTACAAAACTTGAGAAGTTTTAGCTTAACCTGATCATTCAGTCAATCAAATTTTTCAGGCATTTTCTTTTTCTTTTGGCGTGAAAGCAGTATAAGTAGTAAATGTTTATGCTTTTAATAAACATGAAAATTCAGTTTTAAATTTAATTTAAATAGTTTATTTAAATATATGTGCATATTTATATAGTTAATAAAGAAATAACTTTATCTTAAATTGTAATTTGCTTTCTTTATTTTTGAATTATTGAAATGAGGAATTATTATTATTATATCCCTTTCTATCTGGACTAGTATCCCTATCTTTGTTGTTATACTTACAACACTTTAGTTGTTATATTCTCTCTGGTATCCTGGTGTCTGTCATACTGGGTAACTATCAGAACTCATATTCCTTTCACTGGAGTAGAGTGTTTTTATTCACCTTTCCATGCTTAGGTTATATCTCTTATCAGATAATACCCTTCAAGTCTATTCTCTTTAGTGTTGCTTGTCAATTTCTTCTACTGAAGCAGATTATATTATGTCTCTGTACTAACCAACTCCTGGAAACTGCAAGGATACAAAATGTACTTTAGCCAATGCTTTAAGCTGCTCTTGGACAGGCCAGTGTAATTTGTGAGCCTTAAACTTAATATCTGTACTCAGTTGGTGGAATTTCTGAGTGTCCTTTCTTAATCAGAGACTTCCACATGATGTTCATTTCTATGCTAGGTCTACCAAAAACATTATCTTTTTCAGTTATCTTTCAGTGTTTATCTTGACTTCATTCCACAGGGGTTGATGACCACTCATTTTTCCACCATATATCATCATCAGCTATACTTGATTTCAATGTCTTGCCTTGGGCTACCGCTTTTCAATGTTCCTTCACTCTTACTTTTAGTGGGTAATTGATTTCTTCAACTCTTGTCATAACTGCATGGGATGGAATATACACACAATTCTTGGTCATGTTATTTTCAAAGGTGGTGAGCTTTGTTGAGGTATTGCTGAAGGATCAAACTGCTTTTGAATGCTGTTCTGACGTATGGGCCACAGGTCTTTTAAATATTTTCATAGGCACACTTATGACTGTGGGAGATTTTTAATTTCTTTGACTCTTCTGTCCCTGTTTGTGTAGTTTGATGTTATCTTCAAAAGTGTTTCTAATGTTGATTATCTCCTGTTGGTATGTGTCTCAGTTGTCACATGAGTTTGACCTAATGTTTCTTGATGCTGTATGTATAGTGGGAATTGAAGCTCAACTCCACCTAAACACTGAAATTTTATTTAATAGTTATTTTTTTCCTCAACTGGTTCACACTCCTACCTGGTTTTTTGAACAGGAGTAGAGGAGTATCCTTTGTTTCCGGTTTAGGATTGAGTTTCTGATTCCTTCTAAAGTCTTCTCATTCTCTTTCACTTCCAGTAGTCCTTTGCATATCATTGGCATTATCACCTTACTTTGGGTGAATTGACTTAAAATATATATACTGAATCTATATTCTGCACAAGTTATTAATGCATCCAGGAAGGCCAGTTAAGTTTCTGCTTCCTTTTCCATTGTGGCTTATGTGGAAAGTTTTACTGAGTTTAAATTGTCCAGTAATGTTTGTGCATATTTCTGTTGGGGTCAGAGTATGATCTATATATCTAACGTACATGGTCAGCTTTAGCATTCTTATAGCAAATTCCTCAAAGTATTCCCTTTAATATGTTTGACATTATGATCCTATGGCTAATCTTTCTTCTTGCCAGTATATGTCAGACCCATGGCATTCTGTACTACAGGCCAACTCATCACTAGAGGCCAATTTCAAAAGCAACACATTTATTTTCGGCTAGGTATAGAACCTTATCTGTGGGAGAATCTTGGTAAACAATCTCACAACATCCAAGCCCACAATCTGATTGGTATGAATGGAATCATCTCTGATGGTCTTCACAAAGTGGTCAGAGCTTTTCATATGGTCAGTTAAATGCTATACTTGATACAAGCTTGGGCAATCATGTTTCTTTTGATTCGTGACTGTTTTGGCAGAAAATTTTCCTGCAGTAGGTTTCATATCGACTTACCCGTTGATTATGAATCAGAACTCGTTAGGCATTGATAACCTTCTCAGTAGATTGAACATAAAGATGAATACCATCAGGTGCCTCTGACTAAGAAAGAAAGGGGGACTCAAAAATTCCATTATCTGCATACAGATATGTTTAAGACTCCAAAATTACATAACTGGTCTATCCAAAAGACATGCAGCCAAGTAGATTAAGTCATTGGTTAAAACAACAGATAATTTTAATGCCTCCAAAATGAAACTGCTTTCTATTAATCATCTGAGTGACCTCTTTCTGCTTTCCATCAGCATGACTGATGCTAACCTCCAAGAGAGTGACTCATTGTGTCTTCTCAGGCTAATGTTCTCAGTTGGCATGAAGTGAAAAGACTATATTGAATCCATTACCAGGTCAGCTGCTAGGAAAGTTGATTCACTGTGTCATGCTACACAATTTTTTTTCTCCAGAATTTATCTTGGATATTTATAAGTCTGTTATATGGCCATGCTTAGAATATTACTGCCACATGGTCCAGTGCTCCTGCTATTAAAATCCAAAGAAGAATTTGCAATATTATTAGTCCTGACCTGGCATCTTGACTTCAGTCACTTTCCCATCGCTGTAAAGTTGCTTCCTTGTGTCTTTTCTATAAATGCTTTCATAGTAAAATTGTTTGGATTAACTCTAAACTATGGTAACTAGACTTTATGACTTTAAGTGCAATACTAGACTGGCAATGAGGTTTCATCAATTTACAGTTGAGTTGGTTGGATGTAACCGTAAATTCTGTACCGACAGTTTCTTTTCTCTCATTTCCTGCTTGTGGAACTCTCTTCTGGCTCTCCATGCTTTCCAGTCAAATTTAAATGCAATGCCAATCACTACTGTCTTCCTGATTACTTTTCTATTGTTCTTGTTCCTTAGTAATGTTTCTGTTTTCTAATTCTTTCACACTCAGTAACCCCCCCCTCCTTTGTGTCTTAGTGGCTTTATTGCCTTGCTTGGGGTGAATTTGGGTGAAAATCTGGGGGGGGGGAAAGAGTTATGAGTTAACTCCCTAGGTCAGTTTGGAAAAGTCTTATTCTGGTTTAGTAGAAGAAACAGGCAAGTGACACAAAGGTGAATGAGAGAGAGATCGAGATCAAGATCTTTGTTATCCACTAAGTATGGAAAAACAGAACAAGAACATATCTCCATACAGTGAATAATGGGTCCAGTTCAATATTCTGATAAGAATACAGTATACAACAGACACCTGATGGTAGGCCAGAGAGTACAACAACAAATATGTGACTATACCAATCACAATGAGTATATTAGTCTGAACATTAGTCTATACACTGAGTATAAAGCAAATGATATTTACCTTTTTTCTTATAGCTTTTTTAAATCAAATGTTGGGAAGCAGACTGTAGGGCATATATGATTTATAGTTGTGTCTGCACCGCCATCAGATCTGGAAAACATTTTTACTTTTTCATAAAACTTTTGTTATTTACTAATATGAATTATTTCTTCTTTCCAGTGTTTAGTCACTTGCACATTGTGCATGTAACACACACATTCTATGTATGTTTCCTTCCTTGTATTAAAAATGCATTTGAATTTTTTGAAATTTTCTTAAAGTTGATTGAAGTAAAGCAGAAAAGTTCTTTGAAATTGGAATTAACAAATGAAGGCAAAGCAGTTGCAGATACAGGCAGTCATGAAGCTTTGATCTTTTGTGCAATTCCTGAAGAGGGAATATTGCAGTCAGAAATTATGGTAAAATCAATTTTCTAATCTCACTAAATAATAATGATTTTTGCTTGTCTGAAATTATGTAAAGTTATCCTTACTGGTTTTTATGATTATGATACACAAATGATAAATTAAAGAATTGAAAATATTTTTTATTTTATCTTTAATGATCACTTTTACTCAAATTACGTCCCTTGTTATTTAACAAGGAAATAATAATAATATACTTGTATTATTATTACAAACTATTATTCTCACTTTGGTTGATATAGATGTTAGACATAATGTTTTGCCTAAATACACCTCTGGTTTTTATCAGGTGTCCATTGATTAGCTGATATGGAATATCTATTGATTATTGTGATATTTTGATGATGACCAGAGAGTTCTTAGTCAAAATGTTGTGTCTATAATAACATTGATATTGACCAAAATGAGAACAATAATACAAGTATATTGATAATTTATCATCTTTTTAAAATGAAATACTAAATTAAGAAAATATTAGTTTTAAGATCTATGCCTTTATAACCCCAAGTAAACTTAATTTTCCATTTACAAAGATGTATTATAAATACTGAAATTCACCCAGTTACTACTTCATTCATTGTTTGAAACCATGTATTGTATTTAACAGTAATTCTTTTTGTCATAATTGAAGAAAGAAGATTTCAATAAACCCTTTACAAAATATTTAATTCATTAAATATATATATATATATATATTTATTCAAAAGCATTAACATTTGCATTTTTAAACAATATCTACATCACTGTATCATTTCTATTTACAGAAAAATATTCCTAATGCCAAAATTGGTTTCAATAAAGCAATGTCTGCTGGATGGATTAGAATAGATAAAAATGCAGAAGGAGGAGCTAAAGTTTTTCGTAAGGTGAATGTTTTTATTAATTTCTGGGAAGTAGTCTCAAAGTAGAGTCAACCTTAAACAGTGTACAACATGTTTCTGTATAGGATGAAAGAATGGTGGTAACTATTTTAATATTGCACTTATTTTAGTGCAATTTGTTTTAAAATGATTACATTTATTTTGTAATTGTGGCAACTTGCTGATCAAGGAGATAAAGACATACATATGTAAATATAGCAGTGTTTCAATTCATTTATTCATACACTGTCAGATTTTCTTATGCAAATCATTTTTCTTCACAATAAAATTGGTATTAAGCAGTCAATGTTTGTAAACCTTTCAGGATATATGTATACTTATGTGATTAGTATATGGTTTGAGTTCAACTTTATCCATATAAAAAAATATTAGTAACTTGTTTTGGTGAGGTCTTTCCTTTCTTTTCTTTTTAATGCATGCATAAATTTTTATTTATAAATAAATATAAAATATATAGGCCACATAAACATATTATTAATTAACACAATATTCAATATGTCTGAATAAAATATTATTTTACATGTTAATATGAACTCCTTGTCATTCTATAACCATCATTGAGTTTTTGGCATTTTGATTTTTTTAATTTTTCTACTTTTTGATGTTAATATTACTTGCAGCAATTTTTATTGCTTCTCCGAGATCTTTTGTTAACTTGGAAGAGTTTTTAATTTTCATATACTTCTTTAATTATGGACTATGGTTATTCTATTTATCGGGAGAGGCTGAGTGCCATTAAATAGATATCTTTGAAATCCTCAATTTTTTGTGAATTGTTTAATTACTGAATGTGTAGGAGAATTATTTTGCATTATTTAGCTTAAAGATTCTTGATTGTGTCTTGATTTTATTTGTTCTAAAATGCCATGTCCCTTCAGGATGTAGGTGATCATGACTCCCCACAGATTTCTTTTCTTTACTATCCATGATTTATGATGCTTCCTTGGGAAAGACAATGGAGTAGTTTCCCTTTGTCTTCTCCACTGTTTTGAATTCAGTTCTCCTTTTTTTATAAACTGGTTGCCATCAAAGGTTAGATATCCCAGTCAACCTATAACTGGAGAGAAGAGATGAATTCATATGCCTTTCCCAAGGGCATTTGTGAGGAACGAAATGACTCACCTTCCACAAAGCGAATTTGTTTGGCATGTCGGGTCCTGTTGAAAGATCGCAGCCGCCATTAAAAGTGACATGGATTATTCCAAAATTCCTATCTCGCATGCAGATGTACAATAAAAAAAACTATGAATTCAAAGCAGCTTGAATTTATAAAATAGGAAGTCTTGTGTGAAAATATTAGTTCCCTATGATGCAGACATAAATAGTGAGTCTGTGAGGGAGATTGGCAGAACTTTCATTGGCATGACTGTGTACAGATGGACAAGAATGAGAAAATAATGAAGAGGTCACTTGTGATAGCTCAGTTGGTAGAGTGGAGGACTGTAGAAGAAAGCAAGCACCTTAATCTATTTCAGTTATCACAAGCGACTGGCGAACTAATTAATGACAAGCTATTTTGGCTGTACTTTGATAAAAATGGACCGGTTCCATTTGAAATTAATACCGGAATTTGATGGCTCCCCAACTGGTCTGTCTATTGTTGAGTGGTTTGAGAAGGTGGAGCATGTCTGCAAACTGTTCAAAATCAAGGAGCCTGCGTTGGTCATCCCGTTGAGGCTAACAGGAGGCACCTACGTCGTCTACCAGCATCTTGATGTGTACCTGTCTGATCAAAGAAAGGTGTTGGTACAATTTGGGGGCATTAATGACCAGATACTCGCATATGCATTTTCGGAAGGTCTACCCATTGGTGTCAGCCAGCTCCTGTGAGCATAATCAAAGCCGGGAAAGATGGGGTATTAAGAGCCCGAACCATTTTGAAGGGAGTCGGAGCACGTTGCAGCAGCTGCACGGACAAAGGAGGCTGTGTGTAAATCAGAGGAGAATGCTGTCGGCGACTGTCGCATCCCCATAGCTCAGGAGGGCTCCAAATGCTACGTGTGGTGGTCCCAACCACTTCTCCTGAAAGTGCAGGAGTCAAAGTAATACAGGTAACGGGAATCGTAGTAAACCATGTTGCTATCACTGTAACAATCTGGGCCATCTAGCGTGGAACTCTCTGGGAAACAGGCTCAGGGGGCCAAGGAACTGTCGCCACCCTTTCCCCTTATCAACCAGTAAGTACGGATTTGCCCATAGTCAGGGTACGTGTGAATGGCATGCAATGTTTGGCTCTCATAGACATGGGATGTTCCCATTCAATAATCAGTGCAAACTGCTGTCAGGCCTGGAAAGAGCAACATGTGATGATTAGGACGATTGATGGGATGTCTACGTGTGCTGCGAAATTGGAGTGATTTCAATCTTAACAGATGGAGGTGATTGTGCCGAGGTGGACACACTGGTGGTTTGTGACAAGCCTCTGGGGTACCATTTGCTGATCAGAATCTATGCTATATGTAAACTAGGCGGTGTTATGATCATGCGTACCAGGGAAGTGCAGCTCGGAAGAAATTGTGAATCGTGCCGCCATTACAATTGAAGAACGGGATTTCTGTATCATGTATGACCATGGAACAAAAACTTGGACAGCGGAATGGAAGTGGACAGGAAATAAAGCACCAGATCAATTGCACAATACAGTTGTGGAATATATGGTGTCGAATAAGAACAGAGCTGCCTACAAGAGTGGACTTGAGACATGGATCGCGAATGGCTGGCTGATACAAGACCGAATAGAGGATTAATTCCCTTAATGGCTGTTGCACAAGCCACCAAGGCTAAGGTATGGCCAGTGATGGACTATAGGGAGATAAATCAATACATAGATGCGTTTATGGCGGATGCAGACATGTGTGCCGAATGAATGAGGGAATGGTGGCAGCAAGCAGCTAAGGTAGCTCTGCTTGACCTGCGAAAAGCGTATCTTCAAATACAAATCAATAAGACGTTATGGCCTTTTCAAACGGTTATTGTCAAAGGAAGGAGGTACTGCTTGATGCATCTGGGGTTTGGCCTTAATGTGGCTCCCCTAATTATGAAATCAATCATTAAGACAGTGCTAGATCAGGATGAGCTGATGAAAAGAGCTGAGTTGGCATATGTCAATGACATATGTAAATGAGGACATACTTTTGGTGAATGAAGTCAGGTGCAGATTAGAATCTTTCGGCTTGTCTAGCAAAGATCCTATTCAATTAAAGGATGGGGCCGTTGTGCTTGGGCTTAAAGTCTGGGGGGAACGCAACACACTGCGGTGGAAGTGAGGGAGCTCAGTTCCGGAACTCCCCGCTACATTAACGTGAAGCACAGTATTTTCTGTATGTGGGAAGTTAGTGGGGCACATTCCTGTCTGCGGGTGGCTCTGTGCAGCCACAGGAATGATAAAAAGATGAGTCAGCATGATAACAAATGAGTGGCATGACACTATAAAAGACACTCTTCTTATGCAGATGATTGTTGAAATGATGACTAGAGTGCACCAAGATGACCCTGTTCAGAGAGATTGGTGAGTGACTGGAGAAGAAGTCAACACATGGGTTGATGCAAACTCCATGGCAATGGGTGTGGCATTGGAAAACCGTGGAGTTATACTAGAAGATGCATGCTGGCTTTGAGCAAGAAATGATGCACAACATATAAACCTGGCTGAATTGGATGCCATGTTGAAAGGTATAAATCTGGCATTACAGTGGCGGGCCAAGGTGATACATCCATACATGTACTCAGTATGCGTGTACCAATGGCTACAGAATATCCTGACAGACAAGACCCGAATGAGGATTAAAGCTGCAATCAAAAAGCTAGTGTGCAGGAGACTGACTAACCTACAGCAGCTAATTGAAGAATATAATTTGGTAGTTGATGTCAAACTGACTACGTCTCAGAAGAACCTGGCTGATAAGTTGACTAGAGTACCAAAAAGATGGCTTGACATGTTGAAACAGGAATCAGAGCCACCAATGTGCCCTGCTGTTACGAGCCAGCTGACCATAAAACAAATCCATACCATACATAGCAAGAGTGGTTATCCTGGTATTTGGCGTTCGACATTCGACTTACTTCATGCAGAAAGTATGTCCTGCAGTGGCAAAAGTGATGATTACTTTCAGCTGTATGAGGTTGCAAGGAATACTGTGCAGTGGACCCTGCCCCAGTCCAGTGGAACAAGGGCAAGCTTGGGGTAGACAAAAACTGGTGGTGACTGGGCATGGACGTGACATGGATTTGGATGACGAGGAAGGTCGTGATGACACTGAAAATGCCAAGGACCCACAGGATGTAGACATGGCAGTACTGCTACTGGAAGCATCCCCTCCACCTCTACGAAGGAGCATTCGTTGAAGGCATTCGCCCCCCCCCCACGTCATCTGTGTGATCATGAGACCAGGGGGGAGTGTGAGGAACAAAATAACTCGCCTCACTCATGCAAAGTGAATTTGCTTGGCATGTCAAGTTCTGTTGAAAGATTGTGACCACCTTTAAAAGTAAAATGGATTATTCCAAAATTCCTATCTCATATGCAGACATACAATGAAAAAAACTATGAATTCAAAGCAGCTTGAATTTATAAAATAGGAAGTCTCATGCAAATGAAAATTAAGTCTTGTATGCAAATATTAGTTCCCCCTGATGCAGGCATAAATAGCGAGTCTGTGAGAGGGATCAGCAGAATTTTTGTTGGTGTGACGGCATACGTATGTACAAGAATGAGAGAATAAGGTCACTTGCAATAGCTCAGTTGGTAGAGCTGTAGAAGAAAGCAAGCTCCTTAATCCATTTCAGTTATCGCAAAGGACTGGTGAACTAAATTAACCACAGCATTAGTGCAAAAGTGAATCTCACAGATTAGCCTGAAATTTAAACTAAGATTGCTATTTCCACTTTCTACACTGATATCCATTACATTAATCATCTGTATTTATCTTGATACAATTATCAACTTTGAAGACCCTCTAATTTTACTGCCTAAAATACTATCTCCAAATATTACTCCATCTCTCTATAGTTGTCTTCTAAATCATACTGATTGACCATTTTTATGAAGGGCCCAGTTGCTAAGTCTATTCAATATAGCTCTACAGTTGTCATTAAAAATTACTTTCAAGCAATCAGTTTTGATGCACTTCTTGGCTCAACATTTATATTTGTCTTTGTGATATGTTAGTTTGGTTACTTTCATACCTTTAGTGAATCTTTTTCTTTTTACATTCAAAACTCAAATTAGTTTCTACTAGTCAATCCCCTTTTCTTGCTTATAACCTTTTAATTTTTCTCAAATCTTTTTTGTGACATTTTTAAAGACAGTTTTTTTCATGTTCTTGTCAATGTTTGCATTTTCTTTTTTGATTATGATCTCTGTTTAAATGTTTTCACAATTTTCAATGATGTGTTCTGATTCCTCATTAATTTTTACAATTTTTCTCTTGAATTTTTCTTACAGCCCATGATAATCGTTATATATTTTTGAAATGAAAAAAAATAAGTATCAGTAACTTTTCATACATTTAGAATATGAGCAACCTTCTAGTTGCATAATTAAATCTCACACCATCAAATAGTTTATTGTAAATATTTTTAATAAAAACACATGCATAAAGATGATTTTTAACATAATTTGGCTAATAATGATTGGGAAAATATTGATTTTCATAATAAAATCTGTCATAAGTAGAATATGCAATATTATTGATCCTAATCTGGCAGCTCAGCTCCAGTCACTTTCCCACTGCTGTAAGGTTGCCTCGCTATGGTAATTGTTCAAATGAGCTCTTTGCTATGGTATCTAGAGTTTTTGAATTTAAATGTAGCACTACACTGGCACCTCATCAATTTATAGTTGAGCTGGCTAGATGTAGCTGCAAATTCTATACTAAGAGTTTCTTCTCTCGCACTTCTTGCTTGTGGAACTCCTTTCCAGCTCCATGTTTGAAGATTAAAGTTGGCTATAGCCAACTTTAATCTTCAAAAATTTAAACTATCTACTCTCCTTCTGATTACTCTCTTCTTTTTCTACTCATCATTAACATATATATTCCTAATTCTTCCACACCCTGTAACCCCTTGTGTTTTAGTAGCATTACTGCCTTTCTTGGAGTGATTCTGATTAAAATTTCTAACCTGAACTCTGAAATTTTATTCAGTAATTATTTTTTAATTTTTTTCTCCTCTCCCAATAGGAGTTGATAGGTTCGCCTATTGTCTGGTTCACACTCCTCCCCAAACAAGTAGAGTAGAGATTTATCCCTTTATCTCCTGTTTCAGTTCCTTCAAAAGTCTACTTCCACACTATATTTCTTATGTCTCCAACTGAACTCTGAAATTTTATTCACTAATTAAATCTTGATCTTGTCAAGTCTTGAGATTTGATTCATTTTAAATAATTTTATTTCTATTTGGGTTTTATTAAACTTTTTTCTTTCATATTGAATAAAGTCCTAATTCAGAAAGTATGAAATAATAAGTTTTATATTGAAGACATTCTAAGAAAGTGCTGCTAGATATGTTGAGAAAGACAGCATGAATATATTGAACATTTTGTGATTTTATAATACAATAAATTTTTATGCTGCACCTTTTTATGTTAAAATATAGCAAGATCTTTTTAAAAGATTTGCCAAATGTATCTTTAAATTTTATCTTAATCATTTGCAGCATTTTCTTGGAAGATTAGTGCAACACAACCTTCTTGACCCCATTTATTCCCCTTAACCTTGTCTTCAACAAAGTTGTTTCACTAAAACTATTCATTTTGTGTTACTGTTTTTCAGGTTGAAAAAATCACTGACTCTGTGCAAGAAACACTGCAGCAGTTAGAAGATGGGACAATAACAAAACTCCCAGATGCCCAGTATAAAGACTACAAGAAAAGAAAATTACTTATTGAAGTGTATGTCTTATTAAGTTGATAAATTTTGCAATTTTCATAATATAAATTTAAAGTTTTTGTAGATTGTCATATATATATATATATATATATATTTGTAAATCTGATAGTGACAATTTTAGTTTTTTACCAATGTAAACTATCCCGTTTTAATTTCTAAGAGGCTTAAATAAAAAAAAAAATATTACACTGTGTTTTGAACCTTGATAGTTCAGCCTGGAAGTCATTTTTTATTGTTCTGATTTAATATATTGCAACTACATGTTTCTTTATAGGAATCTTTTATTGACTATTATTATTAATTTGATAATATAAATGTTCTTTTTGTAAATGATTTTTATTTTTATCTTTCAGTAAAGTGACCAGCTATGTTCTAAGAAAAGGTCCCAATTTCAGTCTTACAATTTCTGAACCAGAAAAAGATTTGACTGATGAAATGCTTACAACGTGAGAAACTAATTTTAAATTTTGAATATACAAAATCTGAAAATATAAAAAATCTTTCTTTGAAGCATTTACTTTCCTAGAAAAACATTTTATTTCCTGCTTTATCTTACTGTCTTGATAGTATTTTCTCACAAAATTTATTCTGTAATTCAAATGTATTGATTTCACTTTAATAAATCAAATTTCAGAGCTTTCAATCATTTTATTTCAATTTCTTATATATCCTTTTTTCATCTTATATATATATCCCTTTTTCATCAGTTTAAAAAAAACAAACTTCATAAAGACATTAATGTAATTGTAGTTTTATTTGATATTTTATTTAAGAAAAGGTCAAGTATAAATTGATTGACATGCTCCAATATTTTTATTGTATAATATATGTTCCTTATGAATGCATTAGATAAAAATAATACTTTTTAATCTTCAGATGTAAATATTATTTGATCTGTTTTGGTTCGGATTGTATTGTTTTAAGTAGTCTATTTACTGCTTGATCAAAGTTAAACTCTAAACAAATGATACTTTCTGTGTCAATGTGAAGCTATTTCATTATTTCTGATTCACTCTATTTATTCATAAAATCTCGGATTAGACTTGGAATAAAAAGATTAAAGAAAAATGAGCCAGTGATTAAGAATTCAACCAATCTAAGATAGTAAACAAAAATATGAAATAAATTATTGGTGTTTTGTTATATGACTGCATACTCATCTTTACTTTGTAGTCAAATTAGTAAAAAAAGATATCCATGTTAAATATGCTTTTATTTCTCATATCAGATGTACAGTCATCATGCACCCCCCCACCACCACCACCTCCTACTTGCCATTTTTAGAACCACTGTATCAAACTTCTTCCTCTAAGGATTTAAATATGCCAACCTTGAAGTTAGGATTGCTCTGGTTAATAATTTCATTATTGGTAATGTAATTACTCTCAAAAAAGATTTGGAAAAATACTAATGCAAAATTCTCAGAATATTATTTAAATTCATTCTATGTCTAAGATAACTGTTGAATCTTAAACCAAGAATGAAATTTCTGTAATATGCAATAAGCTAGGATGACTGCTTAATCAGTAAATGTTAATATGACCAATTACTGAGTATCAGCCAATTGTTAAGTTCAAACATATTTAGAATTTATGTTGGAGGAAAAAATCCACTCATGAAGTTAATAGGATATTTTTTGCTACAATTCTGTTATCATCATAATGGTGTTTTTCATTATGTCATATATTTATTACAGGAATAGCTGTAAAATATTGGCCACCATATTTTCATTACTATGAATATTTTTTTTATATTCTGCATTTTTGTAACTGTTTTATTTATTTGCTAGTGGTTCTTGGAAAAATCAAGAATTCAAGCCTTACAATTTTGATGCTCTTGGAATTATGCCACAGTCAGGTCATCTACATCCGCTGCTCAAAGTCCGTGCTCAATATATGAACATTTTTTTAGAAATGGGGTAAATATTTTTTAATTTTTGGAAAATACAAAAATTTCACATTGTGTTTAATGAATAATTAAAAAATGCTTTTGTCATTCTTTTGTTTTAAATATTTTTCATGCTTATTGTTATTTTAATGCTTGTCAATCTTGGAGACACTGGACCTATCTTGAAATTTGTTTTTCTCACTTTATTTTCTCAGATTATTTTATTGCACAATGAAATATAGCTTTTACTTGGTGTTTATATTTCATATTAATAAGAACTTAATGCTGAAAATTTTGAATGTAATCTCCAAACAAGAAAAAAATGTATAACTTGTTAAAATAGAAAGCCAATCAGATGAATAATTATGCTGCAAAATTTTCTTTTGTTTATTTTTTTTAATGTGTTTGGTAATTTCATGAGGACTTTTAAAAAATTATTTGAACTTATATATAAAATGTATTTGATAGATTTAAAAATTACTCTGTAATATTTTAAAATGTAAAAAAAGACTAAAATAATTCTTGTAGAATTTTAAGTCACTTTCAATTGTTATTTATTTAATGAATTTTGATTTTGACTTCTTAGAAATTATTTAATTTCAGAATTTCTATATAGTTTTTGAAGTTTATTCATTCCAATGGTGTAAATATTTTTAATGTATTTGAGTATCTCATATTCATAGAGTGACAATTACAGAAAAGATTTGAGTAAAGGTGTTGATTTTAACACTAAATGCTTTTCTTTCTGCAAATTTAGAATTTAAATCGGTTACTAATGCACTCACACAATTCAATTTTGAGTCATAAATATTAGTTTTATAAATTGTTCTTCTCTGAGTAGAATTAATACCATTCATGAGGTAATCTGTATAGTCTTCAATTTTTGAAATATGACAATGTGTTTTTATAAGATTAATGGAGATGAGGAAAAACTCTTTTGTATTCAATTTTTTTTTAGTATTGTGCTAATTCTGCTCAATTGGTTTAATTTATTTTAATGTTTACAATTGATTTCTAAGTGCAATGATAAATATGAAAGATTTCTTTGTCGGCATCTCCAGATGTTGAAATTAGATCTGGATGTTTAATTTTTATAAAGTAACTCTATTTTTAACAAAATACCCAGGAAAATTTTATAGAGGACCAACAGTTAAAAAAAAAACTGTTCTTTTTTTCTACCTCTATAAAAAATTTTATTGTTTTTCAGTTCTTTAGTTTAAAAGTTGTTCTGATGGAATTAATCTACAAAAAATAATGTGCAAAGTTTAACTTTTGTGCCTTCAAAAAAATGGTGCTTCAAAAGGAATTTTTTTTTTTTTTTTTACTGTAGACTACTGAGGCAATGTTTACTTACAAGATTATAAAATATGTGAACTAAAGTACAATGCGATATTTATTATTTACTATATTATAAATAACTAACTATGAAAACAAGATTTTTATTCACAATTTCATAATATCAAGGAACGATAGAACAAGAAAAGTCGAATAAACATGATTTTCTGTGCATAATCCATTTTCTTCTCAGATTATTTTATATCTCAGATTACTTGTTTTAATTTTCCAATTTCTTTTTATAATCAGGATCTAGGATCAAATAAATTGATAAATGATAAACATCGCATTGTATTAATTGGCTCACATATTTTTATAATGTTGTAAATATAAAATTATTCTTGTAAATAAATAATCTAATAAATAAATACCACTTAATATTTTTGTTGTAAATTCTTGGGAACAAAAAAAAAGCTGTGTCAAAGAGAAATACCATCCTTTTGACACACCCAATTTTTTTGTGTGCACTTCATTCAATAATGATTCTTCTAAAAATCAGTAAAAAAATAATAATATATATTATGAGAATATATTTGTTTCATTCTTTTCCTCAATTACTTTTTTTTTCCTTGCAGCTTTTCTGAGATGCCAACAAATAATTTTGTAGAAAGCAGCTTCTGGAATTTTGATGCTTTGTTCCAACCGCAACAACATCCTGCACGAGATGCACATGACACTTTTTTCCTTTCTAGTCAGTCCTTTTGATGTCTTTTTTGTGTTGACTTATATTGGGATAAAAATCAAGAAATTATTTAACTTTGTACAGTAATAGAAAGTTTTAGACCATTTGAATGTTATTTTTATCTTATGAATTAGAAATTTATAATGACTTAATTGGAGCATAACAATATAATAGGTAATTTAATGTCAGTTGATAAAAATTAATTCAGAGTAAATTAATTATTACTCATTTAATTTACTCTCAATTAATCTTTATCACCTGACATTAAATTATACTCATTGATATAATTCATTCTGCAAAGACAATAATGATAATAATTTGTTAATGCCAAATTGTCTAGTGCTATCTTTTGTACAGTGTTAAGAAAATCTTACAAGTGTCTTTGAAGCTTACTAAATTATTTATTGTTTGTGCACAAGTGTTTGGAAAATTTCACAAGCTAAGAAGCTTGTTTTGACATAAATTTACAAAATGGAATATTGATCAGCAGTTAAAAACTTGATTTTAAAAAAAAGTGTGTGTGTATATATATATATATATATATATATATATATATATATATATATATATATAATGTACACTGCTGTGTAAAAGTGAACCCTTAAGATAATATTTAAAATAATAATTGTCTTTTTTCTTTTTTTTTTTTTTTTTTTTTCAGATAATCAACAAATTTTAATTAAACTATATATTTGTTAAGAAAACCTTTAATAAATGAATTGCAACCACTTTCAAAAATTTTTAGCTGGATTAAAAATATTAATAAAATATGAGAAATTAAGATGTGCCTAGAAAAAGCCACTGTTTACAAAATAGCAAAAGCATGCTCAACTATGCCAAAGCTCATATTAATAAACTAGGAACATTCCGGCAAAAGGTTTTATCGTCGGATGAGACCAGACTAGAGCTTTTTGGGTAGAACAATAGGTGGTATGTCTGGTGAGCTTCTAATATGGTTTTTGAAGAAAAGAATTTGATACCAACCATTAAACATGGTGGTGAGAGTATTATGATTTAGAGGTGCTGCAGCTGGAACAGGCAAAATAGTATGTATTGATAGCACAATGGTCTCTGAAAGACGTCAAGAAATAAGAAATTTGAAGTCTTGAAATGGCCTATTCAAAGTCCTGATCTAAAACCAACTGAAAATCTGTGATTCAAGTGAAAGAAGGCAGTGCAAGCAAGAAACCCAGGCAAAATCAAGTAACTGTGGAAGTTTTGCCAAGAAGAATGGTCAAAAATCGTCACTCACTACTACCAGAAACTTCACCAAATATTAAATGTAAGGGTTCACTTACTTTTGCACATCATAATTTTTAATTAAAGTGATTGTAATTGATTTAATAAAGGTTTTGTTTTTTTTTAATGAATATATAGTTTAATTAAGATTTGTTGATCATCTGGAAAAAGATACAATTCTTTTAAATATTATCTTAGGGGTTCACTTACTTACTCACTTACTGCACAGCATTGTATACACTACTGATCAAGGGTTTGGGACCACCTTGAATTGTTTATAAAAAGGCTAATTTTGTTCACTTAGTTCATAAACAGGCTATTTTTGTATATTTGGATACATAAATTCACCTGTTGTGTATATATGCAACCCTTATATAAAATTCAAACAAATTTTTCTACAAGCATTATTTATTTGCATAATCTTTGGAAATTGTTACAACCTGATACCTTTTTTGAACTGTAGAGCAGAAATTTACAAATATTTCAACTCCATTGGTAGAGGTTCAATTCCATCTAGATTAATGTGTGATCAAAATTAATTTTCAGAAATTGTTAAAATGCCAAAAGATTGGTATTGAAAAAAAGAGCCCAAGTTAAAATTCTTTCTATAGAAGGGTATTTTGAATGTCAGCTTGCTAGGAAATTAGATATAAAAAAAATGGGGTGCATTATTGCCTGCAGCAATATGCAGAAACTGCCACAAATGTTGACAGAAAAATACCTGGGAGGCCCAGAGTAACATCCATTGCAGAAGATAAAAACTTAATAGTGTCTAGCAAAAGTAACAGAAAAAAAAATCTCCCCAACTAACTGCTGAATTGTACATGTCAACATCGAATATCTGTTATGACTGTTAAGAGAAATATTCTTTGTGTTGGGCTTAAAGGATCAGTTAAGAAAGATCTATTAAAACAATGCATTGAAAAGACTAAAATGGGTACAACAGCACAAGGATTTGAACTTTAGAACACTGGAAAAAGGTACTATGGACTGGTGATTCCAAATTTGAGCTTTGAAGAAGTAAATGAAGAATGTTTGTCAGACAAACTCTTTTCGAACTAATGAGTGAAAATTGCATTGTGCCAACTGTTAAGTATGGTGGTGCTGTAATTGTTTGGGGATGTTTTCGAGGTGAGATTTCCTGGAGAATTTAATCAAATTAAAAGCATTATGCAAAAAAAAGAGTATCATTCAATACTGCAGAGGCATGCAATTCCTTGCTTCCTCATTATTGGACAAAATTTTGTTTTGCAACAAGATAATGATCCAAAACAGCTCAAAACTATGTACAAATTACCTAAAATCAAAGGCAGATAGGGGAATTTTGCAAATCATGACTTGGGCCCCTCAGTCTCCAGATCTTTCACCAATTGAACTAGCCTGAGATGAATTTGATCATAAAGTTCAAAGTGATATGCCTTTGAATAAGCAAGAGTTATTTACACATTTACACACTACTTAGGAATCACTTCTGCCAACACACTTTTACAAGTTGCTAGATAAGATGCCAAGAATTTGGTCTGCAGTAATAAATGTTTGTGGTGAATTCTTTGGTCCCAAACTTTTGGTCAGTAGTGTACGTGTGTGTGTGTGTGTGTGTGTGTGTATGTATATGTGTGTATATATATATATATATATATATATATATATATATATATATAAATACAAATTGGAGATAAAAAAACGGTTTTATTGCAAAACCTAAGTTGAAGAAAATCATGATTATATCTAAGACAGATTACTATTTCAACTTAAATAAAATAAGCTGGAGAAAAAATTTTCTGTTTGGAATTCTAAAAAGAATTCTTTATAATGAATTGCTAAATCCTGGACAAATTCGTTACAGCATCTGGAAAATGCATTTAGACAAGTTTTACTGCTTGACAATGTTCATTTTCTTGCTGTGAGTATAATTCAGCAAACATGTATCTTGAATTGTTCAAGAAATTTGTGCCATGCAAAAGTTTGTTTGGTCAGCATTTTAAACCCATTCAAGATATCAAAATATTCCTCAAAGATTAATAAAATTAAAATTGATTTGGTTAATCCTTTAACCTGAATGATAGCATAGAAATCCAAGAAAAATGCTTTGATGATTGAATATATATGTGAACATATAAGGAAATAAGACTTCCACATAAAATGCTGAAAGTTGACCATCCTAAACAGATGTGAAGATTAAAATTGAAGATTGGACAAGTGCAGAAGTGTCACATGATTACCTAAGTTTTATACACTGCATGTCAAATTATTATCATCAAGATATATTTTTCTAATATTTCAAAACCATCCAATCAATTCACACAAAATTTTCACACAATTTTTGCTAACACATGTTCATCCAAAAACTTTAAATTTTCGTACTGATCTGTGCAATGTAAACAAACTGGATTATATTTGTTATCATTACAGTGATTTCTTATTTGCCAAATTATTAGAAAAGTGTAAAAATTTAGTGAAAAGATGGGCCAAAAAAAGCAGTTTAAGTGATGCTGAAAAGAAAACCATCACCTCAGAACTCTCAAAAGGTAAATCTACCCTATAAATTTCTAAATGATAGGGAGGTGTTTCAAACAGTGTGAAAAAAGTTCACCACCATTTAAACACATGTACAAAAAGGGCAGATAAAAAACTTGAGGAAGGTTATTTCAAATCGTCTCATGTCACGACTTAAATGAGTCATATATAATAACCCTGGACTTACCAGTCAAGAGCTTTTCAGTCGCATTGGGGATCCTTCTGTGTCTAAAAGTACTTGGTGTCAGTATCTGAGGGAAATAGCAACAACAGTCAAACTTATAATAATTTGGCACGCAGTGTATATTAATTAAATGGACTAATGAAGACATTTGCAATGATTTTTCTATAAAGTAATTAATGTTGGAATATTTGACTTTTTGGAATAGGCTAATAATTCATTTTTTTTTTTTTTTTTATAGAATAGTTTTAATAGGCACATCAATTGATTGTTATTTTATAAAATTGGTTTCATTTTGTAAACAAAAGAAGACTGGGAATTTATTAATATTAAATAAAAAATTTTCCTTTTCAGAATTTAACTGAATTTCCTGAAGAGTATTTGGAACGTGTTAAGAAAGTTCATTCTGAAGGGGGTTATGGTTCTCAAGGGTGAGTTCTCACAAAAATGTGAAATGGTTTAGTTGAATAAAAGATATGCAAAAATTCTATTCTTGAATTATATTTTCAAAGTAGTATCTCAGAGTTAATTATTCTACTGGCCTCTTGATACTTGAAGTCATTGTTACAGAAATCTTTTAAATGTTTCTTGACTGATTAATGGTATCACTGTTGTGTTATGTTAGCCCAATATTTGTACCCTCACCTCAGATTTTACAAGTATATTTTAAGTTTATTATTACAATATTTGTTCGAGACATATTATATTAATAATAGATTTATTTCTTGAAAAGCAAATTTTTGATATTTTTTTATCCCCAGTTGAATCAGGGCCAGTTCTCAGAAGAGAATTTCTCATTTATTTGTCTTTTGATATGAGGCCAGACAATCGTTTGTTTGATAAAAAGTGCAAATTAAACCAACAGAATTTTAAATGAATTTTCTTACGCATTTTTCGTAGGCAATCATATAACAGTTTTTCGATAAGGCGATGTTTTTTTTCAATTAAAAATTTAGGCTTTCTTATTTTTTATGGGGGCAGACGTAACCAGAATCTGTCTTAGCCATTTGCCAGTTGGAATATGTAGATGTCACCAAAACCAAATGGAGTTGTTTGCTGCCTGAATGAATTAAGAACATCATCACCTTAAATCGGCTACTATTTTTTTGGAATTCACAAAAAAAACTAGAACATTTAATCTCTCCTCGTTTTTGTTTAGAAAAAAAAAAAAAAAAAATATCGTATGAACATCTTTTTCGTTACACTGCATTATTGATGAAAATCCTGATCATAACGATCACCATCTACTATAAGTGTTTCATGTTTTTATATCTTTATTGTCTGCTTGCTCTATATTCCTATGATTTTCATTGGTAATATTTGTCTAATGATTAGTCATCTCCCCAAAAATGTGTTATTAAGTTTGTTTTATTTTCTTATCTTATTTTGCATCTTACAATATATATTTGTAAATAAACTATTTCTATTATAAATTCTGTATATCATTAATTTCGTTCTGTGTCTACACATTTTATATTTCAAAATGTCAAAATTCCAATTCCCCCACGTTTTTTTTAAATTATTTTTATATTCCCTGTGACAAAAATTTTTTTTTTTTTTTTGGGAGGGTTATGAAAAATTGGTCGAAAATCAGAACAAAAAATAAGGAAGATGAAACGACAAACAATGGAATAGAAAAAAAATTAATTTTTTTAAAATTTGAGAGCAGAAAATGTTTCTTCTTCAAAGATTAATTTTCTTTTTTAAGCTGAAAAAATATTTTGTTATTAGAGGTGGGAAATTATTAACCTGGAAGACTTTC